ACCTGACTCATGCAAGGTGTCGAATTTAGAAATGATTGCCAATCACTCGCAAACTGACACCAATGTATTGATCCGACATCACTATTAATTAAGTACAACCTCAAATGAATTAAAAACATAAAGGAAATATAAAAAACAGTGTTACGTTGCTTCGAAAATCCGATTTTTTAGAAGAACGTAAAATCACAAAATCGTCGAAAATGGTCGTAATTTAGTAAATTCCCATTCTAGATCACAGTACGTCCTCTTATGCAAAACAAATGAGTAAATATGAAAGCACAAATAAAATGACGCTTAAGAGTAGTGTTTTAGTGAAGTCTACATCTTAATATTTTTTAAGCATTGGTGCAATATCAGGTATGGCTGTTTGCTAACAGCCTACAATCTGATTATAGATTCCTAAACAGTCTTTCGCGAAGTCATGATATTTTTAAATCGTTTGGGTTGATTAAGATGCGGTGCAACAGGATAAACAGGAGTTCTGCTTGGTTTCACCGATGGGGACGTCGTAGGAGCAAACATTTTCATAAGGTCACATGCTGCCACACCGGCCGGCGACTAATAAATCTAAATAGAGTTGACAGACGTAATCGCAAACATGTCATTTTATGTTTTTAAAGAGACATTCTCTCTCGTCAAATTAATTTACCCTTTTCGTTTGTTCTGTACTATGCTGACTTTCAGATTGGCCTTGAAATATCGCTGAATGCTTCATAATTTTCAGTGTTTTTCCGCGATCGCCAATAAAGACAGATTCTATGCCATGTATCTGTTAAAAAATGGTAAAATAAGACACTTCGTGAAAGCATTTACCGAAGTAGCGAGTGTTTTGGCGCTCTTTTTCGTGTAGGAGGTCGTTCGGATCACACCGAAAGATTCACTCGAACACAGAATTTCATTGTCGAATAAAATGGCCGTCCACAACGAAAGTCCTCAACGAATATGCCCTCGAGCGATTACAAAACTTTTCTAATAAGTTATTTCTTTAAAGATGGCTTTAATACTGCACTCCATTGACGGATCTCTGTGTACATTGCATTTTTTGCACGGTGAAACCAAGAAAATACTTGACACATTTGGCCGTTTCACTTTCCTAAAGAATACTAATATTTTTCTATTGTAAACGTAAGAATGTGTCTTCTCTTTATATTGCGGCCATTTGCACTGTTTTGCTCACCTTCAAGCTCCGTCCTACGATTATGAACGCATGACAGAGTGGATATATAAATACTGTTATTTTGCTGAAACCGTTAATGTCTTATTCATTCCCCGGTAACAATCGGGAGATGGCACCCAAAAAAATCCGCCTAACCAAAGCAGCCTGTCTTACGGGACAGGTGGTAATAGGGGTTTTCTGGGTGGTGACTGGTCGGCAGGTACGATACAAGCCGACGGAAAGCCTTATTTGAACAGGCGAGTGATCGATGTTGGTCCGCTCTCCGTCCCGTTATTACAAAATGGGTCGCCAAAGGCGGTATAGTGGTAACGGACGAGTGAAAGGCGTATAATCGTCTTCCCTCAGAACTTTACCTAAATTTCTCTGTTTACCACTCAAAGAACTTCAAGGACCCTGCCACCGGACGGCACACCAATGCCATTGAGACATACTGCAGTAGACTCAAAAGGAAACTCACAAGGGAGGCCCTGTATGTGGTCGAGCTGTGTGGGCTCACATAGACGAAGTACAGTATCGTCTTTGGTTTGGCCTCAATGCCATATCTTTGACAGATGCCTGGAAACTGTTCCTGTCCCATGTTGTGCAGACTTATCCTATTTAAAATTGATTTTGTTTTCTAATAAACTGCCATAATGCGAATGTATGCCGTATATTCAGGTGTACGTGTGTGACGATGGGGAAGGTTGGGTAACAGCGACCATCGTCCATGTAACCTCCTGCGATGTTCATTCGGCTAGCCCATGTTAGGCCGTCGGGTAAAGTCCAAGTAGTGCGTGAAAGTCGACCTGCAACAGGTGATATAGCCTGAAAGTGTTTGAATCCACTGTTAAAGGTATTATTTCTAGGTAACGGATTTTTTGGGTGCCATTTCCCGATTGTTACCCATTCCCCTTGTGAATTACGTATGTACAGAAGTTAGGCTGCAAGACAAGTGATGTTTCACATGTTCAAATCTGGAAATGACTATTCGGTGGTGGCAGTTCTGTGAAAACAAGTAAAAATTTTCAACCGGCAAACCAATCTCAGCCTAATTAAGCAACGAATTGCCTGTGTGTTATTACTGCGCTTCAGGACACCAAATCGCACAGATCTGCTAGTATGACCTCTAAAAATTAATAAAACATCTGGTTCTTTTAAAACAACCTTTGTGTACACAAATTAATTCCCACGGTTATCGTAGGACTGAAAATGAATTTTCAAGTCCTGCAAGCGCTGTTTAGTAAAATTCTCGAAGGTAAAATACTCTCCTTTCAATGAAAAACACGCTAAGACGCGCCACCGAAGTGTAAGACGAATATTAGCATAGGAAATTGACCAACTTTACCACAATGTCCTTTTCGCTCAAATTTATGAATACTTTGCTTGATTAAATCACGCGAACATAGGCTCTGCACAAGAAAAGGACAATTCCTCGAAGGTGCTGGATAAGCAACCAGAATGTGCAACGTTTAAGACGTCCAAAAATTCTCACAGGTTCTACGAGGCAGGTCACGTTCTGTACATGTTCCTTCATAAGCCCTTAATCAAAAGCGTATTCTAAACTAAATGAACCACCAGAGCCTCACAACAAGCCCCCAACAGCTTGCTGACCTCAGCCATTCAATTCCGCTCTTTTCCAATTGTGACGCTGGGTTCCAACTAATGATAACTGAACCGTCCACTAATAGCAGGGAAGGCCTTCTCTGGGAAAAATTGTCTTGCCTTTGGTTCTCTCGAGAATGAAAGTGCGTTTCGGTTTTTCGGCAGGCCTGACATTAATCACCATAAAGTTGGGACGAAAGCGTGGGAGAACCTGCTGTGTGGTCATAAATTTAAATAATTCTGCATTCGTATGAGAACAGATGCCGATGCGCGCTTCGTATGTTCTAAGAAGTACCCTTACCTAGAGGCATTTCTGTCCCCGAGAGCATCGGGAATGTCATATTTTATCGGATCACTGTGAACTGACTTTATAGCCGCCGAGACTGCGATGGGTAAATTCTGACTTCACCAATTAATTTTTTGCCTTAGTTTCGGCTTCTGTTTATCGATGTCCCTTTACTCTGTCAGTGGACTAATTTCCACTTTTCTTTTCTTGACAGAGGATAGGTTGATTAAATAGGTTGGTGCAAAGTTGATCTAGCACAAGGATGCTGCCAATGAAAAAGTAATTTGGTAAACACCCGACTCTTAATACCTCTTTACACACCATGTGAGGGAATTTCTGTTGCGAATCTTGACATGCAGACAGACCTCGCAAAAAAGAATGGATCATCTGTCCTTCACTTGTTTACACCCGTCCCATACCCCCCATTAGACGAATTAACTCCTATCAGTCTAATGCACGGCTAAATGAGTTCACTGGAGAACAGGAATTCATGTGGTTCTATTCGCTTAACTCAGGTGTTCCACCAATGGGACGATGGTCCGCGAAGCAGCAGATAGAATTTTTGTGAAAATCCTCACATTACGATTGAAAAAGTCAGTTGGCAAATATAAGTTTTCGGTAATTCCCCTTTAGGCCAATGCAATTACATGGAGAATAAAGTTGTGAGTTTTGGGCAGGAAAACAAACTTGTGAGTTATGGACAGGATTTATACATGTCTCATGGCAGGGTTAGTCAAACTCACAAGACGAAGATGCGATCACTGGAACAATAACTTTATTGGCCTGACGTTTCGGATTCTCATCCGAACCCATCCTCAGGGACACTCGCAGATAATGGTAGTGGTGGCAAAATGAGTGCAGTATTTATAGCACGTGGCTGGCGTGTGACTATGTAGTACTGTAATTAACAGCTCTCGAAATCACTGCTGGGGTCGTAATTGATGCGATAGTGGATTGTCAGTCCGCGTCTGAGTCATTAGTTGCCATGATTTCGTCATACGTGTTGGATGCTGCTGTGGCTATTTCCCAGCAAACTGGCCCACCGTCACCGGGATAATTGCTCGCCCGTGACTGATTCCACTACCCGTCAGAGGATTTACCAAGAGAGAGCAAGGTGCTGCGAGATCATGGGCAAGGACGGCACAAAACTGCTTCAGCAGAGGCTGGCCGAAGGCACCCGCGAACATAGAGCGACACGCGAATCAATCCTAGAGGGAAAATTTCGTAAACTGTCTGCCCCAATGTTATCCAGGAAAGAAAAACTGGTTCACAACTTGTCGTCAAAGGACCTGACGAAGGAACACATGCAGGTTTTACGGCATGAGGCCTCATTCAGCACAGCCGATGCTAAACCTGCCAACATGATTGCAGCAGTGGAATCGATACTCAGTCGGACGGGAGCGACAGACGAAACGAAGAACCTCAATCGACACCAAGCGCCTTCCCTCCTCATGGCGCATAGGCCGCGCGACGTATATTCCAAGGTCGAGCGCGATGCACTTAAGGAACTCAGGGCCGAGAACAACCTCTTTATCTTGCCTGTGGACAAGGGGCGTTCCACGGTCGTAGTGGACAGGACAGACTACATTCAGAAAGCCAAAACTTTGTTTGAAGATCGTGAGTCCTATGTCCCATGCGAATCCAACCCCATAAAAACGCGAGATAAACGCTACACTGTTGGCAATGGAGAACTCAGGTGCAATCTAGCCAATCGACCGACGCATGGGGATAGCGCAAGAAACGGCCCTAGCCCGATTCTACGGTCTCCCAAAAGTGCACAAGGAGGGCGCTCCTCTCCGGCCTATCATATTACTAAAGGGCACTCCAACCTACGGACTGGCAAAGTGGCTGTTCCGACGTCTCAAATTTCTGAACTCCGATTCGAACACCACAGTCAGCTTATCAACGCACTCCTTGGAAAATTTTAAAGGAGTAAGTTTCTTGTCAAACGATGTCATGGTTTCCTTTGATGTCACGTCCCTTTTTACTTCTGTCCCGCAGGACCTGGCAGTCGAGACAATCGAACTACTCCTGCGAGAGAAATACGACGAAAAAGCGAATCGCCTCGGACACACCCAAATCATCCAGCTCCCGAAGTTCTGTCTCGAGACGTACTTCACTTTCGACGGAACAATCTACAAGCAGGTGACGGGCACGCCAATGGGTTCGCCGATTTCGGGATTCATAGCCGAGGCGGTCCTACAACGGCTGGAGTCGCTGGTTTTCCGACACCACGGACCGAAATTCTGGGCTCGGAATGTGGATGATACCTTCATCGTCATCGAACGGGATCAGGTGTTGACATTCAAGTTACATCTCAACTTCATCTTCCTGGACCTTCAACTTACGATGGAGGAGGAGGAGGAGGAGGAGGAGGAGGAGGAGAAAAACAGCCAGCTGGCCTTCCTGGATGTCCTCGTCTGCCTCAAAGATTGTGGTGGCCTAAAAACCAAAGTGTTCATGAAAGCGACAAATTCGACGCAAATACTGGACTTCAATAGCAACCACCCGATCAGTCACAAACGCAGTTTCGTAAGGGCGCTATACCGGCGCGTTGAGACGCACTGCAGTGAAATGGAAGATAATGTTGCTGAATTACAATATCTTCGACGAGTACTGAGAGCCAATGGCTACCCGCGCAACTTTGCAACCAGTGCATACGAACACAATACCAGAGACCAAATCCAACCGGCCCTAAATTTTGGTGGGCTCTTCCGTACGTAAAGAACGTCTTGGAAGCCGTTAGTCGTCCTCTTACTCCACTTGGAGTTGGGGTTGCACACAGGCCGGAAGCACCTATTAGGCGCCAAGTCATGAGACCGAAGGACCCACTGCCACTGCAGGCAACGTCCCTGGGCAGTGGAATCAGTCACGTGGGGAGGGTGCGTGCGGGCAACTATCCCGGCGACATTGAGACAAACTGCCCAGTAATTATCACGTCAACACTCAGCACGGATGATAAAATCGCGGAAAATAACGACACGGATGCAGACTGAGGAGGCATCATCGCATCAATGGCGACCCCCCGCGTCTATCGCGAAAGCTGGCAGTTATAGCACGCCTGTGGTCTTATGGCAGCCACGTGCTATGAATACTGCACTCCTTATGTCGCCATTACCCTTATCTTCGACTATCTCTGATGATGTGTCTGCGTGAGAATCCGAAACGCCAGGCGGAGCTGCCGGTGGTGGGCGCGCTGGGTGACAGGGTGTGGGTTGGACTAGGAATGGTGAGTGCCCAGGATGTGCTAGGTGTTTAGAGACTGCGGTGAATCCCGATCTCGTGGATACGCATGTGTCCTAGAAGGCCCATGCGGTGAGTGAGTGTGCGGGTGCCGTAAGGGCAATTGAGGCGGGTGCGTCGGGTGTATATTTGTGTTCCAGGCACTAGCTCTCCAGTCCCTGTGCGGTGGGTTCGCAAGTGACCGGCCAGATCAATGTGTGAGCTGAAGGTGCGATCGCGATGAGGACAGGCATGGACCGAATCCACATCACTGGTGTTGGCAGTGGCGAGGTTGATGTTTGTCGATGTGTAAGGACACCGCTGACACCGTGAGCAGGTTGAAAGCGGTTCAGCGTTGGCATTGCGAGGCGGGTGCAGTTATGATTTGCCAGCTTTGAGTCTGGCTTTGGCTGCGACGCGTTTGTGTTCGTAGATCTCTCTGCCCATGGCCAATGTCATCGTCCAGATCGATCGGCCCCGGGCAAGGTCTTCTCAGTTGGTCGGATTGATCTGAAGATGCCTCAAGAAAGTCTTTAGAATATACTTGATCTCCTTGTCGGCGTGAATCCGTTGCGACCGCTCCATAGAAGAGTCGTCTGGGTAGGAGGAGGCGGCCGTCCGTCCTGTCTGTCGGAGACAGCTGAAGTGAAAGTGGTGGAGTCGGCGTGTCTGCTTCAGGTACACCGTCCAAGTCTCTGCTCCATACAACAGCTTCGGGAGGATGACTGCCTTGCTCATCTTCATTTTTGTGCTGAGTTGGAGAGCGTGGCGATTCCAAACTGTGCTTTGAAGGCGGCCGAAGGCTTGACATGTCTGAAAAGTCTGACGGGCCACTTCGTCGTCGATTTTGGTGCTGCAGGAGAGGGTACTGCCCGGATACGGGAAGTTCTCCACCACTTGCAGTTGGGTTTCGTTCACGTTGATCTTCAGTGCATTGTGGGGAAGGGCTGTGTTGGGTGGCGTTGATGCATGATCACCGTCTTCTCCGTGTTGATGACCAGACCGAAGGTCTCGCGGGCGGTGGAGAAGAGGTCCATGCTTCTTTGCATGCCCTCTTCCAAAGTGGTGTGAAGGACGCAGTCATCAGCGAAGAGAAGTTCGTAAATTGTGGTTGTGGATACGCGCGATTGGAAGTGCATTCGCCGATGATTGAAGAGGTGATAGTCCGTTGTAGGCGATGCGGATCCCAGGGCGTTTGTCACGGTAGGCGTCCATCAGCATGGCAGAGAAAATGAGACTGTAGATGGTAAGCGCGAGGGCGCAGTCCTGACTCAATCCGTTGATGACTGCAAATGCCTCTGAGACAGCTCCATTGTCCATGATGTACGCCGCCATGCCATCACACCGTCTGGATGAATCGTTCGGTACAGCCGAATTTCTGCGTGATTTTTCACAGTCCGTCACGATTACCCGTATTGAAAGCATTCGTCAGATCCACGAAGGTAAAGTAGAGGTGGATCCGCAGCTCCCGACACTCCTCCTGCAGTGGACGGTGGACAAAGCTCATATCCATGGTCCCACGATGACGGTAGAAGACCTTGTTCCATGTGATTATTCAGGCGGTTAAGAAGGATGCGAGCGAAAATCTTCCCCGTGATGTTCAGCTAGAAGATGCCCCGGCGGTTGTCGCAGAGCTGGCGGTTTCATTTCCGGTTGTATATATGCACGATTTTTGCGTCTTTGAAATACTCCGGGACTTCTCCTAGACGTTACATCTTCTGGAAGAGCACCGTCAAGTGTTCCTTGAGTTGGGGGCCACTGTGCTTGTAGGTCCCAGCAGGGATCGCGTCCAACCGGGGCACATTCCCGCTGAAGAGCCGCTGGGCGGCATTGATTGTTTCGCAAAGAGAGGGCGGGAGGTAGACGTTGGATTCCACTTGCGGCAGACGGGCAATGACGACATCAGAGATGGTGAAGGGGCTATTGAGGACGCCTCTGAAGTGCTCAGCCCACCGCTGTAGAATATGTCTTCTCGGTGAGTAGGGTACTTTTGTCGACGCTGAGAAGAGGTGCGATTCCTTTGGCTGGTGAATTGTAGACGGCTTTGATTGCGGAGAAGTTTTTTCATTCGTTTTAGCCCACGAAACCGTGCGTTTCCTTGGCATTGCGAGCCGTCCAAACGTCCTCCATCTCCCGCAGCCGCTGTTGCACGAGATGGCGACTACGGTAGATGGCTACTTTGATGTCTTTGGTGGGGCTGGTTACGTATGCTTTGTGCAGGCCGTTCTTCTTTGGGAGCAGATTGATGATGGCGGCGTCATCGTCGTCGAACCAGTACTGGTGTTGGCTGCGTGCGAGACCGAAGACGATCAGCGTCGTCGACTGGATTGTGTCCCGCAGCTGAAACCATCGGTTTTCCATGGAGGCGTTCTCGTCAACAGCGGCGACAGCGACTGGAATGTTGGCTAGCTGTTGGGGCAGCTCGCTGCTGAAATGGAGATGGTGAGCGGGCAAGCACAACAATGCAATATTCAGCTTACCTGGGGGTCGCTCACCTTGAGGTCTACCGCGAGGCTGTAGGTGAATCCGCATCATGGTTATGAGGAGACGATGATCAGTCTACCCGTTGGCACCGGAATCTCATTTGTCACCAACACGTCCGGCTGGTTTCGCCTCCGGACGAGGACACAGTCCAGCAGATGTCAGTGTCGCGACCAAGGGTGCATCGATGTAGCCTTATCTCGCGTCGGAAGGGGGAAGAATGTGTTGGTCAGAATGAGGCGAGGTTCTGCGCAGGTTCGTCGAAGGAGCAGGCCATTGTCAGTGGAGCCGCCGAGACAATGGGGACCCAACACTCCTCTAGAAGCAGCACGGTCTGTGCCGACGCGGGCGCTGAAGTTACCAAAGACACACATACACACCCACCACAGTTTGATCGCCGTTGTCGACGATGTTCACCTTTTGCTTTACAGTAGGGTGAGGCAAGCACGGTGGCCTGTGCGTTAAGTAATTTATAGCGATAATAGACTTGCACATCATCTACCGCATTTCTTCACCTCCCCCACCTGGATCCGGCGTCGAGACAGGGTCAAGAAAACCGGAGACGGGGGGGGCGCAAGTGGATGGCACGGTCGAGCCCGCACCTTGGCGTTCCACTTCCCACCCCTTGATCCACACAACGAAAGAATGTGTGTGACGTAGGCCGCCAACTGGGGCTGCCATAGAACCCCCCCCCCCTTAAATGTCGGCATTTGGTATTTTGCGCATTCAGATATGGCCTCCGTGTTGGTCCAGGACATCTGCCCGTGGCCTGTTTTCGGGGCGCAGTGCAACAAACACCACTTGACACGAAGACATTTGAACTGCTTCTACAAACCCGTAAAATCGGCTGACAACACTGTCTCACTCTTGCCCTCAGCACGACTAAACACCTTCAGCACACACCTGGCCCTGCTAGTGACCCGAGGCAGTGAATCAGAGTTCTGTGCACAATAGGTGAACTCTGTCTTATTCTGCTAATTTGGACATCATCTGCAGACCTTAGCGCTAAAAACAGTTTTTTCGAAGAAATAAGTAACTGATGGCCTACACGTTGGACAACAGAAACCTTTTGGAGATGTCCGGGAAGCCGAGTGATTATGCTCCAGCCGAGGCAAAGAAAACTAATCAGAGACGGAACCCTTTTAGCACGTGTTGGATGATGAGTACTGACATGGTAAAAAGGTTAAGTTAGCCTTTTATAAAAAAATGTATAACTGATCCCGCACGCGTTAGACAATGGAAACCGTTTGGAGATGTCAAGGAGACTGCCTACAGCCCCGGACAAATCGAACACCAATCGTTGTATGCTAGGTCCGATAGTGTAAAGGTAAGCTAGACAGCATAGGAGACTACCTTTGGCCCCGACAAACGGCCGACAGTCCTTGCGTGGCGAGAACCGACGACGTCCAACCAAACAAAGACAAGTATGCCCACATCCCTGAAATGATTGACAAATAAGGCCTACTGAATCAAATGAAGTAGGCAGTTAATAAACCTTAACGTCACAGATGTGAAGATGAAAACCCTCGGCACTGCGTACAAGCCGGCTGCCCCTCTAAAGGGAAACTACTTTGAACGGGTTTAGAGTTTCGAACGTTCCCATGGAAGGAGTAAGGGAAGTAGTTGGCGAGCGCACGAGTGCTTTCGATAAATCCTCGTCAGACCGGTGCATTTATGCGTTAACGGGGTACAAGTAAAGCATGTGGATGATAAGAAAATCGGTGAAAGTTTGCCTTTGCATACAAGTGCGATGTGGGATGAGGAGGAGGAGGAGGAGGAGGAGGAGGAGGAGGAGGAGGAGGAAGAGGAACAAAAAGCAGTCAGTTGGGAAGGTAGCAAGGCTTATGGCAAGGGGGAGAGGCGCGGAGGAGTACGTCCAGTGAACTGACTTTTAGGCACGCAAGACGTGTCGCTTGTACCAGGATCCTCTGCGTGCACAAGACTAGCTTCCGTAATCTGATGGTGGTCTTTTCTGCCGTTGATGACAGACGCTTACCAAATGACTTAAGGTAGTACGGTGAGACCTTCTGAAGCACATGGATAATTCCCGTGAAAGGATTTCGGAGGACTAGCCGTCGAGCCTACACGCTTTCGATAAATTCTCATCAGGCCAATGCATCTATATGGGAACGGGATACAACTTAAACATGTGTTACAAGATAATTCGATTGAATATAGTCTTTTCGCACAAGTGAGTTGTCGAACCATGGGGAGAGGACAATCAAACGCAGTGAGTTAGGATGCAGTCAGGGTCAGAAAGAGCCATGTCAGGAGGGAGGAGGGAAAGAGTGCGCTTGAGTGCATGCACGAGGTTCACCTGTGTGCCCAGGACTGTCTTGTGTAACTCGATGACAACCGCCTCTGTTGTTGCTAGCAGTGTCTTGGGGTAGTTCAGTGGGATCTTATCAATTCCATGGAAGGCCTCTTTGGGGTCCACGCGCTGCTCGGAACCAACAACACGCTCTCCGTTTCGCAGCCATTCCGGAAGGTGCTCTCGCATTCCTTTTGATAAGCGCAGACTCATGCGATCAATATAACCTGCTTAACGGGTGCAAATGAAAGAGTAAACGCATAGTGATGCGGTCTAAAGTATGTAGCCTAACAGTGACTCGGAAAAGTAAGAGAGAGGGAGAGAGAAAACAGAAGAAACGGTAAGGGTCAAGTATATGCGCGGGATAAAAAAAAGGCTTACTGTTGTTCAACAAATTCACCAGCGTTTCAACACTCTCGCCTCACTTGCAGGCGTACGCATTTCATCTGACAATATTTAAAGCATTCGTGAAGATGGAGACACGATCGCTGGGACAAGAGCATTATTCGCCTGACGTTTCGGATTCCTGCTCGAACCCTTTGTCAGAGACAAAATCCGAAAAGTCAGGTGAATTAAGCTCTTGTCCAAGCGACTGTGTCTCCTTCTTCACAACTGCCTCCTAGGACTCGTGTCTTCGCCTCTATTGACAATTTCAAACACTGTTTTACAGTCTGACTACTCCACGTGCCGAACCTTTTTTAAAAAATGAGCGGGAAATTTGGACGTTCCATCGGTTTGAAGTCATTTCGCAACATCTGTGCTCAGCAAAAGCAGCAAAGAAGGTTAGCTTTTGCCGGCGTGTGTGAAAACCGGAAACCGGCCTGCAGTCTGGATCGGGTAGGACTCTCACGACATCGTTGGCCCCAGCACACGTTGATTTAGTTGACGGTTGAGGTAGGGTTCCTTTGTCCTGGCTGTCACTGTCTGATGCGGAAGGGGAATGTATACAGCGGTGAGTCAGTTGGACACCATCGACAATGAAGGTATTAGGTGACTCATTTAGACCGCTCCTGAAAGACCTAAATTCTGCTACTGTTAGTACAGGGGCAATCTGTTTTCCATCAAAATCAGACCGTCAATAGCCCACGTGTTTTCCTAAATGGGAAGATTTTAGAAACTTAATTGCTCCTGTGACTGAATCTCACAGTATGCGTCGAGTCTCAAAAAAGGGCGTCCTTAAAAGCCGTTAAGTGAACTTCAAATTTTGTGATGATGCTTATTTACACATTAAGGAAGTTCAAGTCGGCAAACATACGTTTTCGAGCATTCTTCGTCAGGCCAGTACATTAATACGGGCCTAGTTAGAGCAGCGAAATTTGAGAAGTAAAACACCTTATGAACAGTAGTCATAACTTGAGGTAAATGTGTTCAGACTTGTGGGGCAGCGGGAGAATTATAGTCTGGTTTCTGTCAGTGGTACGGGAAGAGGGAGAGAGGGGAAGGGAAGTGGTAGGGTGGTCTGATTGAGTTGTGCTTATGTTTCGTCGCTGTGGCGCGACGTGCCATGATGCGAGTCAGAACTTTCATGACTCATTTTTGACCAGCGTAGTAGGAGAGCTTTAATGAAGGCATTCTGCGAGCACAAGGCCGGTCGTATGGCCACTGCCTCTGCTGTCGCAAGTATTCGTTGACGTAGGGGCTTGGAATGTCTTGCTGGCACTTCATAGATGACACGGAGTGCTTGGTTGACGTCTACCTGGTGAACGGTGTCAACCAAGTGAGCCACAACGGCGTTAGGAATGGACTTATCCTTGCTTCGATAAAGCCAGGCAGGATGGTGCTCTCGCATCCGCTTGGACAGGCGCCTTGTTGTTCGCCCAACATAACCTCCTCCACAGGAGCAATTGAACGTGTAGATGCATATTCAGGCCTGAAACGGCAGCTTATCCTTGCCTTCAAGGCGGAGAAGTCGGGTGCTATAGAAAATTAGTCTTATTCTAGCGGCAGGGTACGTGCGTGCAATAGCGGAGTTAAGGCGACGTTGTAGAAGGTCACAGGCCGGGTCTCCTCGAAATGCCAAAGTGATAAATAATTCTTTCTTCTCCACCGTCGGTATATTCGACTTTGGTGAATGACCTTTCATGTATCTGTTGATAAATTTATCGGGAAACCATTTTCTCGCAGGGTATTTCGTATGAAGTACAGTACGATCTCCACTGTTTCCAGAGTACAAATTCGTCTAACTCTGATCAGAAGAAGACGCGATCTCTGGGACAAGGGCTTTATTCACCTGACGTTTCGGATTGTCACTTGAATCCATCGTCAAAGACAGTAGCAGAAAAGGGTGCAATAACACGGACCGACCGACACATGGCGAGAGTCCAAGAAACGGCTTTGGCCCGATTCTATGGTCTCCCCAAGGTGCACAATGAAGGCGTTCCTCTCCGGCCCATTGTATCGCTCAAAGGCACTCCAACGTACGGACTGGCAAAATGGCTGTTTCGGCGCCTCAAATTTCTGAGCGCTGATTCGGACACCACCGTCTGTCCGTCAACACAATTCCTGAAGAAGCTTAAAGGAGTAGGTCTCTTGCCAAATGAGGTCATGGTATTTTTTGATGTCACGTCCCTCTTTACTTCTATCCCCCAGGATCTGGCAATCAAGACCGTCCAGCTAATCCTATGAAACAAGTACAATGAAACGGAGAATCGTCTCGGACATGCCCAAGTCCTTCAGCTCCTAAAGTTCTGTCTCAAGACGTACTTCACGTTTGACGGAACAATCTACGAGCAACTGAAGGGAACACTAATGAGCTCGCCGATCTCGGGATTCATCGCCGAGGCGGTCCTACAGCGGTTGGAGTCGCTGGTCTTCCAACACCACAGACCGAAATTCTGGGTTCGGTATGTGGACGATACCTTCGTCGTCATCGAACGGGATCAGGTGTAAACGTTCAAAGAACGTCTCAACAGCGTCTTCCCGGACATACAATTTACGATGGAGGAGAAAAAAATAACCTGCTGGCATCCCTTGATGTCCTCGTCTGCCGCAAAGATTGTGGTGGCCTAAAGACCAAAGTGTTCAGAAAAGCGACGAACAGGACGCAAATACTGAACTTCTACAGTAACCACCCAATCAGCCACAAACGCAGTTGCGTAAGAACGCTATATTGGCGTGTTGAGACGCACTGCAGTGAACCGGAAGACAAGGTTGCCTAATTCCAATATCTTCGACGGGCTTTCAGAGAAAATGGTTACCCGCGCAACTTCGTCAACCGGTGTATGCGCAAACGAGACGAGCGACAAAACCGTGCCAACCCCAAATTCTGGCGAGCGATCCCGTACATCAAGAATGTCTCCGAGGCCGTTAGCCGCCTTCTTGCGCCTCTTGGGGTTAGAGTTGCACACAGACCGGAGGACACCATGAGGGGTCAGGCGATGAGACCAAAAAACCCACTGCCACGGCAAGAAACGTCTGGAGTCGTTTACCGGATCTGGTTGCAGGTCGGGGCCTAGTAGCTCAGGCGGTCAGAGCGTTGGCTGTGCTCAAGCCTTGCCCTTGTTGCTGTGGGTTCGAACCCCACCGCGGCCACCGAGTTTTTCATAAATGGGTCAGATGGATTTGTGTTAAGCTCATTCACGGGGAAGCTTGTAGCGGCTAGGGAGTGCCCAGAACGCTAAAATAATCATGCCAAATCCCATGTTGGAGACAAAGACAGAAGACATTAGGGCTAGATCGCAGTTCGTAGCCAGGAATGGGGAGGCGGAAGGCAACCTTAACCCTAATCCTAACCTTAACCCTGACCCTAACCTCAACCCTAAACGGCAACCATTAACCTTAACCTAGACCGTAAACGTAACCGCAACCCTTAGAAATAGCCGTAACTGAGAAGCCTAACCGTAATACTGAAACCTACTCGTACGCTCAAACCCTTACCGTAACCCGAAAACCTAAGCCTAAAGGGCATAACCCTAACCCGAAAATCGGAAACCATTAACCGGTACCCTAATCCCAACCTCAAACGTAAAACGGAAGCCAAATGGGTCAGATGTGTTTATGGAACCCCACAAAATAGCCCCAGTAAACAAACCCCCCAGCCAACTGTAGTACGGGGCCTGGCTACCAACTGCGACCTAGCCGGCACCACCAGAATAAGGGTTTTGTTGTATACAGAACGTGAGTTGTTCTCTCAGGCGGCAGTGGTCGCTGTCGAAGCCAGGGCTGGTGTTGACTGCGTCCAATCATTCCTGAGAGTCCTTGGGACAGTATTGGCAGCGGCTTTTGTAGGCTCAAATGGGTCAAGCTCAAGTGTGTTACACTTGCCGAGGGGTGATGTCCCAGTGGCTTAGGTTGGTGGTTGTGTAGCGAGATAAGTGCGTTCAAGTGGCCTCATGGGCAGCTGCGACTGCGTGGACGTAGGTATGTCCGATCTGAAGTAAGTCAGGTGACTTCGGGTCAGCGCGTCTGGGACGGCCCGCTGCAAGGAATGAATGAACTTTAGGCGGCGAGGCCTCGAACACCGACTAGCCATGATGGCTGCCCGCAACAAGCTTACCACAGGCAGTATCCATACAATCATCATGCCAAATCCCATGTTGGAGAATAAGTCAGAAGGCATCAGAATGAGTGATTTAATTTGCCCAGAACCCGGAATTGTCCCCTCAGATGGCAGTGGCCACTGTCTAAGCCAGAGCTGGTGTTCACTGCGCCCAATCATGCTTGAGGGTCCTTCGGACAGTGGTGGCAGCCGCTTTTGTAGGCTCAAGTGGGTCAAGCTCAAGTAATCTCCAATAGGTGTGTGTTACATTCGCCGAGGGAAGGTGTCCCGGTGGCTTAAGTTGCTGGTTGCAGGGAGATAGGTGCGCTCAAGTGGCCTTATGAGCAGCTGCGACTGCGTGGACGCAGGTATGTCCGATCTTAAGTGGGTCAAGTGGCTTCGGGTTAGCGCGTCTGGGACGGCTCGCTGCAAGGAAGGAATGACCTTTAGGCGGCGAGGCCTAGAACAACGACTCCAGACTGACCATGATGACTGCCCGCAACAAGCTTACCACAGGTAGTATCCATACTTATTTCCTTCCACGTGCAAGGGCTGGAGGAAGCCCATCTCTTGCGGGAATCGCGTCCACCTAAAATCTGGCAACTAAAGAAAAGGAACACGTTAGAATGAAAAAAGGCGCCAGTTCAAGACATTTGAGCCTCTAGCTTGACTATGCAGGTCCTCTTATCTACTCATCTTTTACTTATAGCCACAAGGCAGGTCAAATGTTGAAGGTATAAATTAGACTTATTTAAGCTTCGGAATTTCTATTCAAAAGGTCATTAGGAAGAATAGTTATTGTGTGTCGACTTAGGAAATCCTGCTTGGGCAGTAAGCTTACTGTAAAGAAGATGAACACGCGATCTCTGGGACAGTAGGTGTATTAGTCTGAGCTTTCGGTCACGTACAGGAGGCCATCGTCAAAGACTGTGAGAATGCAACATCAAATGAGCCGTTTTTATCGACAAGCCATGAAGGGGGGGATATGAGTTCAGTGGGTGGTATTCGCGATAAGGTGAGTCCCACGCCGTCTCACGGTGGCGTGACTGCGTGCACCCTTGGCTGGAAATTGGGTCTCGCCTCTTGCCAGCGGGAACGGAGCGAGTGATAGCAGGGGGGTTTGTCAACGTGCCTGTTAATAGAGTTAGTGTCAGACACCCAGTCACCTTACTGTATCAGATTTAGTGGATTCCAGACGTTGTAGTAGGTTGGGCGGGTAAACTTGCCCCAAATGTGATTAAACTCGCGTCGTCCGGCGGGGCCTCGTAGCTCAGATGGTTAGAACGTTGGCTGTACTAAAGCCTCCCCTTGCTATTGTGGGTTCGAATCCCACCGAGGCGCCGAGTTTTTCGCAGTTGGGTTAAAGTGAATTTTGCTTTCATAAATAGGAAATTCTTTTGGATAACAATCGAAGTAGGAAAACGTAAACGGAATATCGTTTGAGCCTTGCTTTTAAGGCCTTAGGGGCTTGCGAGACCACAGGCCCCCTTCAGGGGACAAATACCAGGTCATCGTGGCATATTGCCTCTCGCCTTTTATATAATTGACGTTTCCGCGCTGTGGTAAATAAACGGAATGCAGTCTACTTCCTTTATGAAATCAGACTGGAGGAGCTGCAAAAAATGCTCAACTTTTACTTGCGCTGCCAGATATCTCGATACCCCCAACATTCCTCGGGTATCGGGTTTCTGATTCACGTGCCCTTTTGCAGGTAGCTCTAGATAAATTTAAGGCGAGGAAGCATGTCTGAGGCGAAACGCCTTTGAGCACAGACGTTTTTCACAGAGCGTATTCAATCGGGCGGAACTTCTGTATTTACAAAGTACATAAAAGTTCATTGGCGACGATAGAATGTGTTAACCTTAATTTTGCTTGCTTGTTTGATCTAAGTTGGCATGTTATGTTGCAGTTACCTTCCTGGCTATGCTTAAGAAGATTACTAGGTTTATGATTAAGGTCATGGTTGGATCAAAGATTAGGGTTACGAAAAGGGTAAGGGTCAGAGTTAGGATTAAGGTCAGAATTAGGGTTACGTTTCCTTGCCGTATACCGTCTTACAGTGAGTGACCGATCTCATGAAATGCTGGCTGAAATACTGAAATGCGTTTTCAATTAGGAAGGATTACTTAGGCGCGGTTGTGATACTGATTATCTTGCGGCATAAGTGTATAATATTTCGGACTCCATAGAATGTCGGCTTTTGAATACACCGCTTTTCAATCTCCTTTAGGAACCATACTCAGTAAAAATGACTATTTAAATAGCATGCATTTTTCTCACTGATTTTCGATGGTTGTGCATATCCAAATATATTTTATGGAAGTCATAAACAAAATAAGCTTTCTTTTAGTTCTTTGATAGAGAATTGCGTCTTCTTTTTATGTAATGCTCAAACGAGTATTATTAGGTTATAAAAGAGTCTTCTTATTGCAGAATAATTTCGAACCTGATCACTCGCTACATCATCGCTTAATGATTACTGTCTAAAAGGCGCACATGTTCACTGTAAAGAAAATAAAATATTCTTCTATGCCTTTAAAAAAGATCATACAGAGTCCGTAAAATTTTGCAATGGATGCGGACTATGTTGTACACTTTGCAAGGAGCTGTGGTAGGCGGACAGGTACGATGCTATGTGAATGGGCATTGCGCGGTCTTAAAAAATCTGATAATCAGAAACTTTTTTAAACCCCAATTATACTCCTTCTTTGAGCATAACATGAAAAGAAGACGCAATTCTCTATCAAAGAACTAAAAGAAAGCTTATTTTGTTTATGGCTTCTATAAAATATATTTGGATATGCACAACCATCGAAAATCAGTGAGAAAAATGCATGCTATTTAAATAGTCATTTTTACTGAGTATGGTTCCTAAAGGAGATTGAAAAGCGGTGTATTCAAAAGCCGACATTCTATGGAGTCCGAAATGTTATACACTTATGCCGCAAGATAATCAGTATCACAACCGCGCCTAAGTAATCCTTCCTAATTGAAAACGCATTTCAGAATTTCAGCCAGCATTTCGTAAGATCGGTCACTCACTGTACTCAATCCAGCATTCTCTAACCAATAACACTGTGTTATCTGTTTTCCACCAGTTTACACGCCTCTACTTTGCTAATTGCAATTAGCGCCGTCTATCTTGGTACCGCATTAGAGTAATAAAACAAAGTACGGCGGAAATTCGAGTTTCTTCAATTGATTCTACAGATTCCGTTACTTGCCGCGTCAATCTGCCTTACTGATAAAGCTAATATTAACATCCTTTCCGTGTTGCAGGATTCCCTAGGCTTTATTGTCTCAGTGGGCTTGCATATCCACTCCTCGCCCGTTCATTTATTTAGACAGGTGCTGGCGAACTCCTTGATGCGAGGTCTCCGTACACTCTGATACAGTGCGGAAACCGTGACCC